AGGTGTCTCACAGACTTGCCTAACAGGACTGGCTTTGAACTGTGGTCCTCAGATCTCAGCCTTCTAAGTAGATAAGATTGCAGGTATGAGCCACTGGTACCTGGCTTCATTTGGCAGCTTCCAGGCCTGTTAGAATAACCTTGTAGTGCAACTACTGCATGCATATGAACACCAGTAGTAAAACAGAAGGATGTTCTTGAATTCAAGCTAACAGGTTAGCTAACAGAGGCCTCTTTCTGTCCCCCCCCCCTCCACTGGCTGCAGGTAAAAGCGCACATGCTCAGACCCTACCCCAACTCTTTTCAAGCAATGTAATGACATTTTTGTAAAGACCTTGAAAGCTGCCGCCTCACACTCATGTGTATTAACTTAGCAGTTTGAGATCACCAGAGCTCACCCAAACTGCCCTTCGTCTGCTCGGGCCCTAGCCCACCCCGGATCAGCACTTGTGCTTGTCAGAAGGGATGTAGAGACTGTGCTCCGGCTCAGTCACGCCTTGTCTTTACAGGCATCACATCATACCACCAGACGCTCCTCCAGCCCAGAGGGCACCAACCAACCCATATCCCCACAGCCATCACAGTTTATGCAGCTCTTCTCTGTAACAGCCAGTGAGGGCAAGCCAGCATCCCACGCTGCCCCAACCAATTCCACTTTCCATCTTCACAGGAAACTCCCGCCGCAGCCACACCTGTTATGAACCGGCAGATGCCTCCATAGCCACCGTGTGAACACTGCCGCTCGTGCCCAGGGCCAACATCTCCCTTCCTCTGGTTTGTGAATAACTCTCAAGACAGTTGTAGAGACTAATGAGGTGCTGGGAGCTATGTTAGAATAAAACCCTCAGGTAGCAACTCTGGAAAACTGGAAAGGTAACCAATAAATCAAGGTCTTTCAAAGTGTAAACACTAATGCCCACACTGGCCTTCCCACGATGTCACAGGCTGAGGCAAAGCCCAGGGGCAGCACCGTCCACAGCCTTGCCCCACCCCACGCGCACGCAGCCGCTACCTTGTCTTCTGGTCTTCGCTTCTGCATGGAGGCCCACCATCTTTGTTCAAGCTCAGCAGGCCTTCCATCAGCCATCCCAAGCCTGCCCATGCTCTGCCCCTTCACAACCCGACAGACAGGTTAACACTTGAGGGGAAGCCAGAGGGGTGTGGCTGGCTGCCTGCACCCCTTGCTGCCCCAAGACTCAGGTTTTACAGGGCATGACCAGAAGCTCGTGCAAAGCTGAAACAAGTGAGTCCCAACCGCCACCCCTCTCTCACAGGGAGAAAAGGTAAAAAATGACTTTATTCTTCACTGCACATTGAAAGGAAACCTGAGGCTCGGGGTACCTAGTTCTCCTGGGTTTAAACCAGCGTTTCGTTGGAGAAATGCCTTGCTCTGCTCTGAAGTTCTAAGAATATTTTTTGAAAGTGATAGATACCTTTTGCTGTCAGTGTTAAGAAAGAAGACCCTCAGTTCTTTATCACTTCTCACCAAGAGTAGCTGCCAGGTGCTGAGGAAACCACCAATGGCCACGAACCACCTACCTCATCCGAGTTTCTACCACACGTGATACCTGGTCCAGAGGGAAGCCTATGGGACGTGCGGAGTGGACGCAGCCACATGAATACAAAGACCTAAGTGATTTCCTGCAGGTTTCTCCTGCCTTGTTTTCTATGCTGAAAATGACTTAGTCTCTACTTCCACTCAGAAAATCAAATAAGGAAGGAGCATACTTCTGCTTTCCGAGCAATGACAGATTTTGAAAAAGGGAGCAGTCTCAGAATATACTAGTCACGCATGGCTTTTGTCCCGTTACACATCCGCTCTCTAACTTTCCTCTTACCTGACATGAAAGGGAATTCATATACTTGGAATAAACCATTTGATCTGTGGCATCTGGTCATCCCTGAACAACAGACATAAAATACTCAGCTGGTACTGAGGGCTGAACACTTCTGGTTCAGCCTGGCTGTGATTTTATGCGTTTTCACACTAGAGGAATGTGAAAGAAGTTGGCCAGCCTACATTGAGAGGTTCAGTGGCAAAGTCCCCAATGCCGTTTAGGGGAGGAGCCTCGTGTGACTGCTCGACATGTACTTCTATTACTCAGCACAGAAAGTAGAAAAGCCTTGGGTTCTTTTGTTTTTCAGCCCAACCTCACAAAAACATACCACTTTATCCAGGCGAAGCCTCCGTTCTCCTATGTAGGAAGTTCCACTTTGTGTTGCCAGCCTCAATTTTACAGAATTACATTTACTCTTTTAACATTTCTTACCTGGTGAGTGCCAGCTTAGAATGTATGTATGCAGGTTAGGTTACACAAAGAGAAGGCCTGTTGTTAGAAATCTACTGTCTGTCCTGGCATGCTCACAGGAGGATTCTGTGGTTTCTCTCCTTCAACCGAGCAGACGTAGTCTTAGAGAACACGCGAATGCACATGTCCACTGATAATGCTACCAACTGAAATGTTAACACTGGCAACTGTGTGTTTAAAAAAAAAATCAAAATGAATGTTAAAAATCAAATGATCTGTTAAACCTCCAGCTTTTACTTTCAGACATATTTTTACCCTATGTTGATGAAACTCAAAAATTTTCTTTTTTATACATTTGACTAAATACTCAGTATACCTACCAGACCTGCACCAGGTTAATTGCATAGGAAGATTTTTTTTTTACTATATTTACATTTTTTCTTAAATTAATTTTAAAAAAGCATAGTAAAGAGTCTGAGGACAAATTATTCAACTGTTTATCATACATAAGACCGCATGACTATAATACAAAGGGGGTTCTTGTTTTCATTTAACGTTACAATATACACAGCAAGTCCGGACTAGATCTTACAATCTGAACACAGGTATTTAACCTTTTCCATGCTGCTTATGTTTACAATGCACAGAAGTCCTGTAACCAAACTGTGTAGTAAAGCACACAAAACTGGACTGTAACGTAACACAGTATGCAGAAGCATTGGATTTTATGATTTTCTTTATGTAAGTATCGGCTTAAAAACTGCTTTCATTTTTTTGGTGCTTGCTAAGATGTGGCAACCAGCACAGAAAAAAAAAAAAAAAAAAAAGAGCTGACCACACAGTGTCAGCCTTCTAGTCCACACTCCTGAACGGCAGTAACTAGTGAATCCCTTCGGGTATTGCTAGACTCGAGATGATATCCTTTTATTTACTGTAAACCTTTATGAACTACCAAGTTCAAAAAAAGAATCCACAGGCTTGACATTTAATTACAAAATAAATATGGATTTCCTGATTAACAACAAAAAGCTTTTGTGGTTTATAAAAACGATTATTTCCAAGGTTCCATTCACAGTTACATAGTCATTAAGCCTTTCTTTTGTCACTGTTACATATAAAAACCTGCTTTTCTTCAGAAAAAAGTTGACCTAGTCAGCCACATGGAGTTGACCACTAAAAAGTAACATGGTGCTCTGCTGAGTTGTTCCGAGCAGGGGTTTCGGCAGAGGTAGATTACTGCTTCTTTTCTAGGCTTTTCTCGATCCTGGACAGGTAAATGACTATATCTTCATTCTCCCACTTCAACCGCTCTAAAGGATAACATCCTGAAATTGGTCAATCTAAAATGGGAACACAAATTTAGCGACTGCCAGACTGCGTTACATTAAGGCAGCATTATCCCCAAAGCGAGGCACTGTTAAATACCAGCCTGTTCACTTCGGGTCATGCTGAGGTTCTGCTTTACTCCTGCTCCTAATTTGGACCTATTGGTGCAACCACGGTCTTGCGTTCAAGTCGGGTAATCAGGAATACAAGATCACTGCTGGCTCCACAGCTCCTGGGTCCAGGGTCCCTTTACCTTCAGAAGCCTGAACACATTTAGAATGTGACAGATGTCATGATCTTGAATTAGATGTCAATCTATTATGTTCAGTACACAGATTGCTGTAAATGTATTGGCTATGGATTCAACAACAGTTCCAGTTTTGTTTAAGCAATAGTACAGCCATAATTTTCAACTGACATTTAAAAATGGTCTAGTTACACCTTGTGTCAAAGTGCAGAACTGCTACATTATTGGTTACAGACATCTATGTGCTATAAAAACAGCTTTGGTACAATAAATTATCAAAAAAGAAAATAAATTTTTGTAAAATTCACAGCATAATTGTGAGGCAAAAAAGCAGTCACATAAAATTCTGCATTTTTAAAAATGTTCAGGATGAACAGAAGACATCTTTGTGCAGAAGAAATGGTGGAGATACCACGTGCCGAGAAAAAGCAAAAGTAAGAAGCAGGAAGGGCCACAGCTGTAGCTGCTCCCATCAAAGCAAACCACCACTTCTGTGACCTTCGACCAATAATGAAGTCAACTTCATGACACACGCAAAGTCACCTTGCAATACCTTACAATTAGTGGGTCACAAAAGTCTATTTTAAAAGAAAGGCCTCTTGAAATACCCATTCTCTGTGTTTTCAGCATTAAGGACTGTCTGCAAAAGCACGTCCATAAGTGATTGCATCTGAAATGGTAGGCTCTTCTAACTCCGAGTCCAAATCCATAAGGCCAAAGGTTATCCCAAAGACCACCACTCACACCTCCCCAGGACTGGCCACGACTGACCCGTTGATTGCTTCTCAGTGCACCTTGGTTAGGAGACCAGTCATGTTCCATTCCTATCCTCCCGTGGCCTCTACCACGGGAGACCCCCAGGATCCCATGTCACCGCTGCTTTGCTCCTCAGTATGTTCAGATAGGAGAGTTCTGATCCCCGCCACTTAGCATGCTCAATGTGCCTTACAAACGTCAACACAGCGTCCCTGTCACGCGGCTGAAGACGGTGTCTGTGTAAGCTGGAGGTCCCTCTTCCTTACAGTACTGCATTTTCCGTGCCCAAGTGTGTTTCGAGGACTTAAAAACCCAAATTTCCCACCCATCCCTACCCAAAACAAAACAACAAAAACAGGGAAAAGGAGGAGGCGGGAGGGGGCGGGGGGGGGGGGGGGGGTAGAGAGGGGGAGAGGAGAGAAGGGGGGAGAGAAGGGGAGAGGGATGGGGCAGAAAAAGGAAACAAAACAAAACACCCTCACGGGGCCCTTTATGCAAATTATGTGCATTGCCTTTTTATGTTAAAATTAGTTGGCAAATGACCAAGACCAACATCTGAACATTAACTTTTGTTGAATAGAAAGACCAAAAAAAAGAAAAAAAAACCCACTATGACTGGAGGTGGCAAGTTAAATGGGGGAGGAAAAAGAGGATACCTCTGAGCTATCCATGAAGATGGGTTTGGACATGGCTCTTAAAAACTTCATTGTCCCTTTGCAATCTTTTCAAGTTTAAAAAAAAAAAAGTCAGCTTTGCCCTCTTGTAGCGGTTCAGTGTGTTAATCTCCTTCTGATTCAAGCAGCTTTGCACTTTGTTTTTTGGAAAAAAACACCACTTCTATAAAAACACACAAGAAACAAACTCAAGTTTCAATGTAGTCACGAGCTAGCCACAGGACTCTGTTGCACACAGACTCCTGTCATGGGGGACTCTTCTCTATCCGCCCCCTGCCTCATCGTCAGATGCCCTTCAGTCATGTAATGTGCAGGACCTGTATTAGCAGAAAATTGGTATGTTGGGTGTCCAGCTATGCCAGTCTCTTGGCGGGGATTGGAGTAGACGGTCAAATTAACGTCCATAGCTCCGTTCTGTCCAAAGTCCAAGGTATTAGCAGCCACTGGGCGGTTCTGGTAGGCCTGATTGCCTTGATTCCCAGTAGAGGAGGAAGATGTGGAGGAAGAAGTCGTTGAGGAAGACAGGGACGTCATGGAGTGGTGACTGTGGCCAACCTCCATGGAATCCTGGGTAGAGGAGCTATTTGTTGGAGAATTGTAGACCCTTGGCCTGGTCCGGTTACCCAAGGCTTGCTGTCCATGGTGGTGGTGGTGGTGGTGGTGATGGTGGTGGTGGTGGGAGCTGTTTCCATGGTGATGATGCAATGCATTCTGCTGAGGGGCGACATGAAAGGTGGTTTCTTGAACGGGGTGAGTCTCAACAGTGACTTGTGTAGGAGCTTCAGTGCCTGACCAGCCAAGGGGAGCCGGAAACTGCTGACGCACCTATGAAGACACATTTTCCAAGGATTATTAAGAGTATTTATTCTAATCTGCAATCCCTTCAGCATTTACATTACCAAGGAAGAGGTTTTTGGTGCTTTTAACAGACTCTCAGGATTCACTGTCATTTTGTCCTTGGAAGTGATGTCTAAGGCAGGGCAAACTTCTGTGAAACAGATCCTCAATCTGACCTCCTCCACCCACCTCTACTGCCACCATTCAGCTTAGCTACTAGCAGAATGTTCTCCAAGGCAGGCCTTGCCCTTCTCTGGGCCCTCCTCCAAACAGAAGCAGGACCGTCCCTTTAAAGCTCAGATCCAATCATGTCCCTTGTGAAATCCCTCCAGTCATCTACTGCTCTTAGGAAAACAATGCCATTTCTCTAATCCTTTCCTTTTTTTTCTATCTCCCTCCTTTTCATTTTATTTTTATGCTGGAATCAGGAATTCAACTTGAGGCCTAGCACCCTCGATCCATTTTCCTGCTCGTGGCTGGCACTCTACCATGTGAGTCATGGCTCTGGTCTGGCATCTTTGTTGTTGACTGGGTATTTCTCCTGGGACAGTCTCTCCAGGCTGGCTGGCAAACGTGGTCCTGCTCAGCAGCTGGCGCAGCATTACGGGTCTGAGCCTCCAGCACCGAGCGGCCCCATCTCTTTGTCATCATCACCTGGGCTCAAACCACACCGTCCCTTCTTTTCACTCTTCCACCTGGCAAGGTCTTTAACTGCTTCAGTGCATGTGGCACTGTTCTCTTCCACCCAGAACACCCTTTTCTATCTGTGCTGGACGTCATTTTCTTATACTTCCGCCGTTCCAGAGCCTTCCCTAACTAACCACTTGGCTAATGCTGTCTAGCCTCTCTGCCACAGGCTACTGGCTGCACTTCAGGACTTTATTGCTCTCATTCTTATACTGTACTTTCCAGCTCCCCTCGGACTAGGTACGACTATGTCCTAAATTACTGATGGAGTGAGGATGAGTGCATGTCACTGTTAGCCTGGCACTCGAAATGCCTCAATTCTGTCTTGTGGCTATTGCTCAGTGGGCAAGTAAGGCCCTTAAGGGTGGTAGATCCATTACTTTCAACACCGGCTCTGACTTCAGATAAAGAAGGGAGCAAACCCCCATGGGCAGCCTTCCAGTTTGCACACTGGGGGAGGGTCCTGCCATCCATTTGCCCTGCTTGACTCAATAGATCTCACCCAACACATTTAGTCATGTTCCAAATCACTTTATCCTTTATTTTTCCTTCCATGGGGAATGACTACAAGGCTCTATCTTTGAATAATACTCCCAGACCCTTCTCTTGTTTTGTCTTTCCTGTTCTCATAGCAAATACTACATCTTTCATTCATGTTTTGTTATATCATTTTTATCACTGTAAGCTCTGAGAAGACAAAGACTTTTGTCTCTGCCAGAGGCTCATGCCTGGAATCCTACCTAGCTCATTAGAAGGCTGAGACCTGAGGATCCAGGTTCAAAGTTAGCTTGGACAGAAAGACTCCTATTGCCCATTGAACAGTAAAAAGCTGGAATTAGAGGTATGGCTGGTGGAATACCAGCCTTGAGCAAAAAAGCTAAGCAAAAACTTTAGGCCTTTGAGTTCGAGCCCATTACTGGTGCCCGTGCATGCATGCATGCACACACGCAAGCGCACGCACATATGCGCACGCGCGCACACACACACACACACACAAAGACTCTGTCTCTATCACCAGCTGCCAATATTTATTGTTAGACCAAACATTTTACCCAAATCTCCAGCGTGAGCCTAAAACCTTGGACAGTGTTTAAAGCGCGTGTGCATGTGTGGATGTAGGAACGTATGTATGGTTGCTCCTTGGTATCAACAGGGGACTGATTGCAAGATCCTGTGGATATCAAACCCCATGGATGTCTAGCTCCCTATGTAAGGCAAGCGTCATTTATGCACATCTATTTTAAATAATTTCTAGATTACTTATAATATCTAATACAATAGAAATACTATTAAGAGTAAATACACTTGTTTAGGAAATGACAAAAAAAAGTCTATGCTCACTACATACAAACTTTCCTTTCTAACCATTCACGCGAAACCCATGAATGCAGATCCTACCACTATGGGGGGCACTGTGCCGTGTCTGTATACCTGTGAAAAAGCTTCATGTACACATTCAGCATGGTAGGAGTTTAGCAACAATAGCTGATAATAATAGTACAATCATAATACTACACTGCAGTCAAAGTTCTAGTAAATGGCCTCTCTCAAAACACCTTATAGTACTTTGACATTTTCACTAAGGGAAGCCGTAAGCACGTGAGAGATTCTCTGTGGCCTATGGGAATCGCCAGCATCATCACATGTGTGCTCTGGAACTGTTACTGAGAACATTTGCTAATGGAAAACAAGCGTGTGACAGACCCACTGTCACCGACCGCTCAGGCGTCCCCTCTATGACAGTACACAGGGAGTGGGTGCAACGTGGAGAAAGCTGGACAGAGCGCCAGAGAGCAGGAGTGTGTGAGATGCCACCACACTACGCAAGCATACACAATTGAAAACAATTCTATTTCTGCCAGGTACCAGTAGCTCACACCTTTAAGCCTACCACTCAGGAGGCTGAGATCTGAGGATCATGGTGCAAAGGCCATACCAGGCTGGTAAGTCTGTGAACAAAAAGTCAGAAGTAAACTGGCTCAAATGGTAGAGTGCCAGCCTCGCACATAAAAGCTAAGCACCCAGGCCCTGAGTTCAAGACCCAGTACTGGCAAAAACAACAAAAACCCAACAATTATTTCTGGAATTTTCCATTTTAATATTTTCTGGCCTCACAGGAATCCGCAGATAAAATGAAGCTATAAACTGTAAAGTTTTCAGTGAAAAAGAAAACTGGAGGGGAGGGGAGAGGAGGGCAAGAGTATGGGATGCAGTGCTGGGAATCTGGCCCAGGGCCTCGCACGTGCTAAGCAAGTGTCCTCAAGGTTATGGCTCCCCAGAGTTGTATGTGTGTGTGCATATGCGCACACATGTCTGTGTGAATACACAGATACGCCAATACTAGAGTTTAAACTCAGGGCCTCGAGTGCTTAGCATTTTAGCTCAAGGCTGGCACTTTTTAACACAAGCCACACCTCCACTTCTGGCTTTTTGGTGGTTAATTGGAGGTAAGTCTTAAGGACTTTCCTGCCTCAGATGGCTTTGATCTGGTATCCTCAGATTCCAGGCTTCTGAGTAGCTACGATTATAGATGTGAGCAACTGGTACCCAGAGCATGGTGCTTTAAATACTGACTCTACATGTCTCCGAGGGGCTGAAGAAGCATGCAGAAGATGATTTGATAGTTGATAAATTGATAGTTATCTAAATGACAACGCACCTCACTCTTTGACTTAGCAATTTCACTTCCAATTGCATACAGAAATGTATACAGACAAATTGCATGGGTGAATGAGATATTCCTAGTTTTGCTATCCTTTCTGGAGGCATTTTATGACAGTGCAAGAAAATTCAAGTGCATGTTTCCCATCAGATCTCCATATGCTGTACCTTAGGTACCATACTCATCCCTACACATTTTCAAAGTCTTGATTTTCCTACAAGTTTGTCATATAATTTGCAGCTCTTTCTATGAATTCATAGAAGGTTGTTACTTATGCTTCATTTCACTAGTCCCCTATATATTTGATATTGTTTCCAAAAAGACTGTTTCCAATCTTTTTTGTTATAACAAATGACAGTATGGTTTTTTTTCTTAAAAAAAAAAAAACCTTGTACACTAGTTTTTACTAAAAATTAGGTGGTTAGATGATTTGGGATGGAAAAATTTTTCACTGATCCTCTTTTGTATTTAACTTTTTTTTTTTTTTTAAGTCAGTCATGGGGCTTGAACTCAGGGCCCGGTGATGTCCTTGAGCTCTTTCGCTCAAGGCTAGTGTTCTACCACTTTGAGCCACAGCACCACTTCCAGTTTTCTGGTGGTTAACTGGAGATAAGAATCTCACAGACTTTCCTGCCTGGGCTGACTTTGAGCCGCAATCCTTAGATCTCAGCCTCCTGAGTAGCTAGGATATGTAACTTTTTTTTCGTGATCTGATTGTATCAACTACCAAAAATTACATTAACATGCTAGGTAGTGGGTGTAATCTTGTACCCCAACTACTTAGGGAGCTGAAGCAGAGAGGACTGTGAGTTGAAGTTCAGCTAAAGCAAAAGAGCAAGACCCCACCTCTACAACAATAAAAATTAAATAAGAAAGGATTTGAGGAAAATGTTGACTTCTGTTAAAAACAGTTGGAGAGTGCTCCCATGCGCTGTCCCTGGGCTGCTTTTTGCTCAAGGCTAGCACTCCACTACTCCAGCCACAACTCGCTCCACTGTCCTGCCAAGGCTGGCTTTGAATCTAGATCCTCAGATCAGCCTCCTGAATAGCGAGGAGTACAGGTGTGAGGCCCAAGAGCCCAGCACTAGGTACTTTTAATGTGTTTATGGCACTTAATATATCTGGAAGAGTGAAAGGAAGAAGACAGACTTTGGAAGTACGAATGACATTTAAGATTTGAAGCACATCATCTCCAAGAAAAGTGGGGAAAAAAATACTTTCTAGGCAAAGAATACAGGCAATTCAAGAAGAGAGGGGAGGATTAGAAGGGGGATAAAGAGATACTAAGATTGCAAAACTTGAGTAAGTGCAATGAGAAGAGAAGAAGGTAAGTGCAGAGCTAAAGAATGATTTAGCCGGGCGCTGGTGGCTCCCGCCTGCAATCCTAGCTGCTCAGGAGGCTGAGATCTGAGGATCATGATTTGAAGCCAGCCCAGGCAGAAAAAGTTCACGAGACTCTTAATTTTAATCAACCAAAAAGCTCAAAGTGGAGGTATGGCTCAAGTGGTAGAGCACTAACCCTGAGTACAAAAACTCAGGGGCAGTGCCCAGGCCCTGAGTTTAAGTCCCAGGACTGGCACACACACACACACACACACGAAAAGGTCTAATTAAGAACCAAATCATGAAATCACTGCCACCTTGGTAAGTTCTAAATTTTAATTTTAGGTACAAGGGAAACACAAGTCTAGTTTAAAGTAGGGTGTGTGGCAAATTAAGATTGCTTTAGTAGCACTCACTGGCTTCAGAGAAAGCAGAGTGCTGATAGGTGAATGAAATGAGACTCTGGAAGACCTGTCATGATGTTCCCCACAGCAGGAAAGGCTATAGAGAGTGGTCACAAGAAAGTCAAGTGGAAAGAATAAAACTAATTCAGATGCTGAACATTCAGCAAATCAAAGCAAGTCAAAACAGGAGCAGGCATGGAAGGTAGAGAAATATGGGAACAGAGAAGCATACTACCAGGGAAACCAGGTGAGCGTTTCAGAGGTTGGGGGAGAAGTGAACACGGCCCGGGGCAGCTGAGGAATGTGGAGGAAGAGCATTACAGTGTTCCCCGACTCATCGGGGAAAGGCTACCACTGATACTGGCGATGGGAAGCTAAGTGCACTGAACCAAAGAGTCCTTAAAGGGTGAAAGGGGAGGTGGCAGAAGCGTGGGATAAGAAAGACGAGGGGCTAGAGAAGGCTACTTGCCATGGAGAGATTACTCGAAGGAAGCAAGCAGGTAGAAGAGGCTGAAGACATGGAGTCCGCGGGACGCCAGGGGCACAGTCCCTAGAAGACAGTGCCCTCGGTGCATCTGGCCTTTGACAAGAAGCAACACACTTCTTTCTAGTAAAAAGGGGTAGGTGACAAAAGGCAGGACCATATTTTAATGATACGAAGTGAGGGGGAGGAGGTGCTGCAGAGAAGAGATCCAGAGATTCAAAGCAGCCTGCACTTTAGGGCTGGAGGCATGGTTCAATGACAGAGTTGACAGAGTACCAGCTGTGAGCAAAAAAACCAATTCAAAGTACAAGGCCGAGTTCAAGACCAGGTATACCAGAGTGCCAGAAAGAGTATAGAGAAATTTACAATGAGTAGAGGATGGTGAGTGTTCATTAACAGTGACGACACTGTCGCTGATGTGACCCTCTGTGGCAGCAATGAGCCAGTGCAGACTCAGGCTTACTTCGGCTATTGAGCAACAGACCTACCTCTATAATGTAGCACACAGTATGAACAATAGTTTATACTCACTGAAACATCCTTATCATCTGGCTTCATACTGATTTTAAAAATTACTTAACTGGATTCTTTTACAAATTCAATATACAAAACAATAGAGGGTAAAATCTAACTAACCAAGAATCAGACACCAGCACTTTAAGGATACAAGACCAGGAGAGGCAGGATGAACTGAGGTGACAGCCCAGATAAAGTTACTTAACCCATGGAGTATCAGTTCCCATAGCAAAATGGAGATTGGAACTATGTGAAGCTTAAGATGGGTAGTGGATCACACCTGTACACCTGATTACCTGGGAGGCTGACACTGGGAGGATCACAGTTCAAGGTCGGCTTGAACTTTTTACTTGGGTAAAAGTTCCTAAGATTCAACTCAACCAATGGAAGGAAGGGGGACACTGCACTTGCTTGTCGTCATAGCTATGTGGAACCAAAAAGGAAAACCATGGTCCAGGCCAGCCTGGGCAAAACGCAAAACCCTAGGCTAGGCGCCAAGTGCCTCACACCTATGATAGCAGCTAATTGGGAGGCTGAGATTCCGAGGTTTGTGGTTCGAGGCTAGCCTGGTCACACACCTCAACTCATAACTGGATGCAGCTGTACACACTATCATCCTAAGCTACATGGGATGCGGAGACCAGGCACAGGCTAGCTGCCTCCACAGAGGGAAGACACACATGTGTCATCTCAAGTACAGGAAGCTTACAGCAGAACGATTGCAATTCAGGCACACACCTGAGTGGGTTGTTAGACTCTATCCGAAAAACAATCAGGGAAAAACAGAACTGCTACTAAACCAGTCTGATGAGAAAAGGCCTGAGGTCACACTCCAGTAGCACCCAAAAGGGCAGAGCATGTGGCTCAACTGGCAGAAGACCCAACTAGCAACCACGAGGCCCTGAGTTCAAATGAAGAGGGGGTAAAGGCAGAGACAGAGACAGACTGCATAAAGCTCAAACAAAGTTGCTGTGGTGAGGTACGTGATACAGGGAGAAAATGTTTGAAATAATGACTGATATGTCCTAAATGAATGTTAGCCACTTTTAAAGTGGTAGGAAATGACCCAGTGTGGTTTATTAGCTAGGAAGAAGCTGTCTCTCCTGAGAGCTCAGGCCACCGTGAGTGCGGTAGTCGTCCTAAGGCACTGGTCACACAATGCGCTCACCTGGGGACTGTGGGTCTCACAGTCCATGGCCTGGACAGCAGCTGTGAAGTGGCCCCCGCTGTGCCGATGCTGGTGCGTTGGGTCCGACCTGGCTCTCCCACTGTTGCTTGTCCCTGATGATCCACCTTGAACAGCACAACAGAAGGTCACTCGTGAGTTTCAAGTTAGTTATGCTCAAGTTGTTATTAAAAAACATATATTAAACCTGAAGGGATGGCACCAAAAAACACCCAACAAACGAAACAAAAAACCCAACCAACAACGAAAATATGTAATATTACCTTAAAGCAGACTAGCAAGTCATTGGATTCTCTGCTGAGAGCTGTCCTCTTACACCAACACTAAACTAATACAAGTTTAACTAAGGGAAAAACTTAACAATGTGTGGAAAAATAATTCTATTTCAAAAACAACTAAATTCTTAGCCAGTAATTTTGTTTCCAATTAGTGGGTAGACTACTGCATGCAGGAGGTAGCCTTACCACTAACTACAACAAATACCTAACAGCTGCTCTCCCCAGGCCCCCGGATGAGAGACTGAACCTGTCAAGTACTTACAATATTATAGCACTCTAGCACTAAGCCACATTCCCAGCCCTATCAACATTTTAAAATCCGTACAAGCCTACACCAGCACGAAGTACAGACCTGAGCTTGACGATGTGCTGGAGGTGGTGCCTGAAGACTGGGACTGCTCCATGGCAGGGCTCGTGGACACACTGTTGCTTGTATTTGTACCTTCATCAGCTGTTTTCTTGAAGAAGCTGTGCTGCAGGGCATAGTAAGGTTGAATCCGAGTTTTGGGGTCATAATCAAGCATCCTTAAAATGAGGTCTTTGAACTTCAAGTAGTCAGCTACTGTATGACCCGACTCCCCAGCACGTCGCCCACCAGGTCCTCCTGTTTCTACTCCAAGAATATTATGAAGTTTACGGGTTCCTGGTGGTTTGTACTCCTGTAAGAGAAGAAACAAAGACTTCCTCTAAATCTTATGGAATACGTAACAACTTGCATAATTTGTCCCCAAATATTCTAGTATTTTATATGCAGATTCCTTTACCTGGAAAGAACTTCATGGAGTTTGATCCTCTGCCTATTTACACAATATTATTTGAATGCACTGTGGCCAAAGAAATTAAACATAAATTTCACCCAAATTGACTATGAAGATAACATAGAGCAGGTGTTGGCAAACTAAGGAATGACCCAGAGCCTACTTATGAATGGCTCGAACTAGAAATGTTTGTTCTCTTTTCAAGGTTATAAAAACAAACAAAGCACAAGCAAATAGCATGTGGTGTGGCAAAGGCGCACAAAGCAGAACCCACCGACGGCTCTCCAGAGGAGGTGTGCTGAGCCTAGCTATACTACTGGGTCTAAGAAAGTGCGGTGCTGCTTCCATAAAGGTGGTTACAAGTATGTTCTAAGAAAAGAAACTCCTGTACCCAACCTGCTTATAGGAACAGTTTACAAAATGTTTCAGAATAAATTGCTTCTGGCATGTGTTGAGATTTTCCCAAAATGCTTTTCAATACAATACTGTAACACTCAAAATCTTTTGCATTCAGAATGGTAACATTGGATTTGTTTCCAGTTACAATGTAGAAACTTGTGAAGTGAATGTTTCCATTCTAAAAACAAAACAAAAAACATGCCAATGATGTCTGCCTATAACCCTAGCTTCTGCAGAGACTAAGTCTGGGGGAACTCCAGTTGGAAGCCAGTCCAAATATCTAAGTTTTCAAGAACTCTTACTAAGCAAGAACTGGACCTAGTATTACACATCTATTCACCAATGATAAAAAACATAAAACAGGCATAGCACCGTCCAATTGCGTGCCCCAGTCAGAAATAAGACCCAATGTCAAAAATAACCAGCACAAAAAAGACCTGAAGCTTGGCTCTACTCATGAGGCTGGGCTATGAGGATCGAGGCTCAAAGCCAGGCCAAGACAGAAGAGTCCGTGAGACTTTCTTATATGCAATTAGGTAGCTAAAGGGGGGAAAAAAAGAAAAACAAAAGCTGTTAGTGGAGGTGTGGCTCAAGTGACAGAGTGCCAGCCTTGGAGCAAAGAAAAGCTAAGTGAGAGCACAGGCCTCAAGTTCAAGCCCAGGTCCAATGTATACACGTGCACATGCACACACACCTGCGGAAAAGGGAAAGGAAACAGCTATACGACAACAAGGGCTTAAAATCATTGCTTTTTTTTTTTTAAACCATTAGAAGGCTCAAAGAAAGCAGAATTAATTGAATTCTAGAAAATGTAAAGCCTCTTTCATTTTTTTCCTCTGTACTAGGTATCTAACCCAGTGCTGTGCTCAGGCTAGGCTAGTCACTTTCTACTGAGCCACATAGCTTCTCCGGGGAGAGGAGAAACCTATGAAGAGAGGCAAGCATGCCACTGCTGTGGGCACTGTAGACCAGCTATGAACCAACTTCTGACAGCCAAATGTGGACAGGCAAGAGGGAAGAGGAAGAGCCTTGAGAGTTAGGTGTGCAATTGTGAGGTAAGCAGTAATAGGGACAGGAGCTCATTCATCGGACATTGGAGAAGAGAATTAACATCAAATAAACAAAGCACCGTTTCAACTAAATCGTACATGAGACTGACTTGGCCCCACAGATCTGTTTCCAATGGGAAACATGATTTATTTCTATCTCAATAGTTTGACATGCAGTAAAAAACTGGACAGAAAAAAAAAACCACTCAACTTACAAAAAAGTGAAAATTTAGATAAAATGTTAACAGAAAATCCACATTAATGGTCTAGATATGGTAATTAGTTTAAAAGGTACTTAACTATAAGAAATTTAGTTTAAATTTAAAGACAATTTAGTTTAAATAAAGACAACCAGATGGGCTTCTCAGGAAAGCAAAATTACTTTTAAATAAAAGGAACGAAACTCATATACAAGTGAAGAAACTACTGAAAGTTATGCTTTACCTTGTCTTGTGCCAATCCTGGGACTTGAACTCAGGCCTGGGCACTGTCCCTGTTCAAGGCTAGTTCTCTACCACTTTGAGCCACAGCACCATTTCTGGGTTTTTAGTAGTTTCCTGCCTGGGCTGGCTTTGAACCGGAGCCTCAAGATCTTAGTATCCTGAGTAGGATTATAGGTGTGAGCTACTGATGCCTGGTTCTACTTACTAGCTTTAACTGCATATTAGACTCAGAATAAGAGGGAAAAAGAAAAACAACAATGAGTAGATAACCAAAGAACTAATACTAACTCCAGAAACACACACAAAAAGCCAGGTCTGATGAAAGAAAAGGAATACAACACTAAGGAGGTTGAGACAGAGACTGAGAACATTTCCCAGGCCAGCATAGACTAAACAGCAAGTTTATCTTAAAAACAAAAACAAATAGAACACCTCACAAAGGAAAGAAGAATGAAATTAATGAGCCACAGATTCCTGGGTAACAAGCATTTTAACATTGAGAACTAGAAGACTGAGCTGAATAAGCACTTTAAAAGATAAAAAAAACCCTGATAAAAGAGATGAATCTACAGATTCAAGAATTTCAATGAATTCTAATAAGAATAAACACATGAGAAGGCAGTACATAAATACATAATAATCAAACTGCAGAAAATCAAAGATAAAACATGTATCAGCTTGGAGATAGAGAGGTAAAACACTACAGATAGAAAAACCATGCTAAAAATAGCTACTGATCTCTTCAGTAACAATGTAATTGGAGTCTGAGTAGAAAGAGCAAAGCCTTGAATTCAAACTTCAGTTCAAGAAGACAAGATGGCCAAGGAAGGAAGGGAGGGAGGGGCGGGGGGACATAAGGGGAGAGGAGAAATAGGAAGAGGGGAAAGGAGAGTGGGAAGGGAGAAGGAAAGAGGAGGAAAGAAAGAGGGAGATGGAAAGAGGGAGGAGAGAGGAGGGGAGAAAGAGAGGAGAGAAGGAAAGAGGGGGACAGTGGAGAGAAAGAGGAGGAAAGAGAGTGGGAGGGGGAGAGAGAAAGTGAGGGAGGAAAGACAAAGGGAGAGAAAGAAAGGGGGAGAGTGGAGGAAGGAACATGGCGGGGAAGGGAAGGGCTGGAAAAGAGGGGAGGGAGGGAGGGAGGGAGGGAGGGAAGGAAAGACAGAGATGTAATCCACCCCCCACCCCCAAAAAAAATTCAGGGAGGGGGGAGAAAAAGAAAACCAATCTAGAATCATACACTCATAGATATATTTTGTCAGTAAATATATTTTCAAAGGAGGATGGCTGAATTTGTCAGAAGCCATTCACTAAAAAACCAAGTAAATAAAAAAGGAAAGCTCTTCAGGCTGAAGGAAAATTGTACCAAATATAAGCCTGGAACAACAGAAGCTTCAAATGAAGAGTAGTAGGCAGGACAAATATATGGATAAATATTAAAAAATCTTCGTATTATCATTATCCTTTTGTATTTTAAAATGTCCATAAAGGCCTATTTTGTTTTTCTTTTCATTTAAAAAACTGATAATGTGTTCGGAGGTTTTTGTTATGTAAAATACAGAAGTGTACAAGAAGTTACAAGGGAGAAATTCGTGGTCATTATCATCATACATTATGTGAAGGTAAACTGATGTAAAATGAGCATATTATAAAAGTAACACTTAAAATTGTAAATGGAAGAACTAGTAACACGTCAATAGAGATGAAATAATGTACCAAAAAGAACTCAATAAACCTAATGGAAGCATGAAAGAAGGAATAGAAAATAAAGAACATTGAAAATAATACGCCAACAAGAAATACCTTAAATCCAAAGCTTTTTATAATTATGTAAGCTGAATATTCATTGTAAAGGACAATTATGAGACTAAATTAAAAAAAAAAAAAAACATTTCCTAGCAGGCACCAGTAGCACAGGCCAAATTCTAGCTACTCAATGGGCTGAGATCTCAGGATCACAAGTTTGAATACAGGCTAGGCTGGAAAGTCTGTGAGACTCTTATTTGCAATTAACCACCAAAAAAGCTGAAAGTGGAGCTGTGGCTCAGGTGGTAATGGAGCAGTCTTGAGTGAAAAAGCAAAGGGACATCAACCAGTCCCTGAGCTCAAGCCCCAGTAGTGCCACCAAAAAAAAAAAAAAAAATTACATCATAAAATGTTAGTAAGAAACAATGTATGACTATAATAATCTCAAAGGAAATTCAAAGACAGACTAAAAGAAAGTAATCCATAATGATTAAAAAGGTCAATTACCAGAAACCATACAGTAGTACTACATGAGTATACAACTACAATACAGGTACAGGGAAACTGAAACAAGCCAAAAATTACCTCTGAAGTTTAATGCCTGCCCTCTATTATTGACAACAAACACACACAAACATACCTCATACATAATATAAAGACAAATATTAAGTGACTTGGCTTACATATTGATAATTGAAGACCATTAACAACAGAAAGTATAATTTCTGTCAAATGTATATATAATAGCCACCAAGACAGTTTAGTCTAAAAAAACAAATTCCAGTGATTTTTTTTTTAGTTTTTTTTGGTCAGTCATGGGGCTGAACTCTGGGCAGGGGTGCTGTCCCTGAGCTCTTCAGCACAAGACTAGCGCTCTACCACTTGAGCCACAGCACCACTTCTGGTGTTTTTTTGCTTATGTAGTGCTGAGGAATTGAACCCAGGGCCTTATGCATGCAAGGCAAGCACTCTACCACTGGGCCACCTTCCTAGCCCTCCAGTGAATTTTAAGTGAGCATAATCATGTTTTACAATCACACTGCTACTCAACTAGGTTAATAGATCTAAGAACTCAAATATTATGTAACGAATTTCTAAGTAGATTAAAGATGCTATCAAAAGAAACTAAAAAAGATATCAAAATGAATGATATTAAAATATAGCATAGGTTGCAATTAAGTTAATGCAGTGATTAGAGGAAAATTGATACTGTAAGCGAAGAAAGTTCTAAATAAGTTAAGCTTTTACAGTAAGAGTTTAGAAAAACTGTAAAGTCAAGCCAGAAAGTAAAAGAACACAATTGAGGGCAAGAATCAACAGAACAGAAACCACCAGATCAAACATGATCAAAGTTGATGTCTCAAAACATAAATCTGGGGAAAGTTAGGTTTCCACATCTAAGTGGAAGTGAATTAAAGCAGCCTAGTCTTCAGTTCACTGAAAATGACACCTGGTGGCAGCACCACTAAAATGTGAGGACAAAACTACAATCACAAGGTGAATGTAGGTGCCCTATATCCAATCATATCCTTGTACATTAGACTCACTATACACTCGGTAGTAAGGACAACTAGACTGCAATTTGTATACACATGAAACAAAATTGCCATCACTTGCTCTATTAAGCTATCAGAAAAGTCCGTAGAAAAAAATTACCAAAACAATCCTAACATTCCAAAAGCCTCACTTGGAAGGTCCCCTACCCCTGCAATTGACCTGTAATCCAGGTCAATAAACCAGGAATTGAATCCATCAGGAAGATCCTACAGCTGGTTCATATATCCTTGAAAACCATCATAAACTGGTTAAGCTCAAAACTCATGTCACATATTTTACCAAAGAACTTTTTAAAAAGTGAATCTTTTTGGCAGGGGGAAAACAATGGAGGGGGTAACAATGTTCAAGAGGAAGTGTACTCATTACCTCACTCATGTAACTGTAACCCTCTGTATAGTATCTTTACAATAAAAAAATTTTTTTAAAAAAGTGAATCTTTTACTTCATTTATGACTTATTCTATTTACAGCCGAAATTATTAACTCTGACTTCACTGTATATCCAAGGTGTGAGAAAGTCAAATTTATTGATTCTAAACAAGTATTTAGGCCTTTTCACTGTTGTTCGTTTTGTTTTTTAATGAAGCCATAAAGAGAAGAACCTCTATCATTAAAGCAAACATTGGTCTAATTAAATTCAACTTTTGAACGAACTATCTACTTAAGTTATCAAAGAACTCATTCACTCTAACAATGATTTCCAGTAAAGTAAAAAACGGGATGTATTGGGCTGGGAAGGTGGCTCAGTGATAGAGTGCTTGCCTTGCATGCATGAAGCCCTGGGTTCAATTCCTCAGCACCACATGCACAGAAAAAGCCGGGAGTGGCGCTGTGGCTCAAGTGGTAGAGCACTAGTCTTGAGCTGAAGAGCTGAGGGACAACGCCCAGGCCCAGAGTTCAGCCCCCCCCCCAAAAAAAAAACCAACATCAACAACAAAAAAAAACCCAACGAGATGTATAAAAATAACAGATCTGCCAGGTACTGGTGGCTCACGCCTGTGATCCTAGCTACTCAGGAGGCTGAGATCTAAGGACCATGGTTCAAAGTCAGCCTAGGCAGGAAAGTCCATGAAACTCTTGTCTCCAATAAATCATCAGAAAAACAGAAGTGGGGCTGTGGCTCAAGTGGCAGAGCACTAACTAGCCTTGAGCTGAAGAGTGAGGGACAGCGCCCAGGCCAGAGTTCAAGCTGACCTACTTTAAAAAAAAATTTTTTTTTAAAAATAACAGATCTGATAGATAGGGAGGGGAAGGGAGGAGAAAGAATAGGGCCAGCCACAACATATTTTACCCGTTTTCCATCTTTGGTCTTCTTCAAGTTCCAAGTGCCATCTGGCAATTTCTCAAAGAACTTTCTTGCTTTTGGTGCTTGGTCAAGAATATGAGCAGGTGGAATGCCCAGAACTTCCACTATTTTATTCATCTGGTCTACCTGTATGAAAAACAAAAACAACACTTGTAAAGTTTCTATTGTATATCCTTTTCTGATCAGTTAATTCATAAATAAATAAATAAAGCATATCTTATGTGCCAAGTATCCTTCTAGGAAGTAAGTATTACAAAAAGACATAGCTCCTTTCCTGCTGGGACCAAACACTTCAGAGAAAGAGAGGGGTAGACAGTTCATAAATAAAAGTACAAATCTGGGCTGGGAAGACGGCTCAGTGGTAGAGCGCTTGCCTTGCATGCATGAGGCCCTAGGTTCGATTCCTCAGCACCACATAAGCAAAAAGAAAAAAGCTGGAAGTGGTGCTATAGCTCAAGTGGTAGAGTGCTAGCCTTGAGCTGAAGAGCTGTGGGACAGTGCCCAGGCCCAGAGTTCAGGCCCCACGACTGGACCCCCCCCTCCAAAAAAAAAGTACAAATCTACACTGTGCCAGGTTGCGCTAGATATAGAGTTTTTGGAAAGTTTATCTTTTAATCTTACAGCTTAGGGGCTGGGAAGGTGGCTCAGTGGTAGAGCGCTTGCCTTGCATGCTCCAGGCCCTGGGTTCGATTCCTCAGCACCACATAAGCAAAAAGAAAAAAGCCAGAAGTGGCGCTGTGGCTCAAGTGGTAGAGCGCTAGCCTTGAGCTGAAGAGCTGAGGGACAGCGTGCAAGCCCAGAGTTCAGGCCCCAAGACCGGACCCAAAAAGAGAAAATCTTACAGCTTAATAAAATACAGACCCAATTAAAGTAATTTTTGAAACACAAATTAATTCATTCCACTACTGAGAGCCTACTAACCTGCCAGAAACCATGCTTAGTAATAAAAGATAACACTTAACAGCTGTCAAAAAGTTTACAGTCACACATAGTGCCTCGAAGCTTGTAATCCTAGTAATCAAGAGGTCAGACTTGGAAGTTCACAAGATCAATAGAAGTTCATTTCAATGAACAGAAACTGGGTATTGTGCTGTGTGCCTGTTATCCCAACTACATAGGAGGAGTAAATAGGAGAATCATGGTTGGTATTGATCATGCATAGCTCCTATTTGAAAAATAACTAAAGCAAAAAGGCTGGTGATGTGACAAAATGGTAGATGCCCAGCGTAGCAAGCTCTAGACTGAGTTCAAATTCTAGAATGAGAAAAAAATACTTTTATAAGAGACACTCGAAATAAAAGAACAGTTATCCCTCAATTATCTTTGAGGGGATTGATTCTAGGCAGGAACAGCACCTTCCAACACCAAAACCAAAGGATATTCAAATTCTTCATAAGAAATGACATAAAACTTGCATACACTTTAAATCATTTCGAGGTGATTTATAATTCCTGTATAAATATATGCTATAAAAATAAGCATTGCACTGTTTTCTTTAGGAAATCTTTTGTTTGGTACATATGTAACTTTTTTCCCATCTATCTGGACCTCCAGTTAGTTGAATCCAAAGATGTGGCACCTGCAGTTACAGAGAGACTACGGTAATTAAGTAATTTCTACCACATCATGGCTAAGAAGTATGGAGGAATTAAAAGGGGGTAGGAAAAGGGACATTGCAACTACATTTAATGTAGTGTTATGAAAAGCTTTGCCAAGAAGGTGATAGTTGACCATGGACTTGAGCCAATGTAGGAAGGAGCCAAGAAATAACTATGAAACAGCATCTTGGGCACAGAAAGAAACAAATACACAGGGCCTGGAATAGGCCTGACGTTGACATTTTTAAGGGACAATAGCTATGGTCATGAGTAAAGGAAGAGGAAAACAAGAAGTGTTGTAGAAAAACCTGCATTGGAGTGTGAGTTACTCGACTCAAATGATTTTGGTTTTGACAAGGTACAGACGAGATGCTACCAAATTGCAAGCGACCCTGACAATGTTTTAGATTAAGAAAAGTAACTATTTCATGGAACAACATTACTTATAGTGCATATATCACAGTTATCCTTGTTGACAAAGAATGCTCAATTAAAAAGGATGGAGGCCAAGCATGATTGCATGCCTGTAGTCTCAGCAACAATGGGTGATTCATTTGAGCCCAGAAATTCCAGGCCAATCTAAACAACACAGTGAGACTTCATTTAAAAAAAAAAAAAAAACAATGATAGAAAGGAAGCCATTAAGTGTCTTTAGCCTTTCTTTTTTCAATTGTAAATGAAAACTATGACCAACATCTGGTTGGGTTGGGGACAAGTAGAGCATCTGCCTTGAAAGTACAGGGTCCAGAGTTCAAACTCCGGCAGCTCAATCAATATCTATGATGGTCTATTTTTCTTTTGAACAAACGAAAAAAACCTGGCAAGGCAGTGTACACTTGTCTTCCTAGCTACCATAGGAAGCTAAGATAAGGAGGTCCAAGGTTCCAGACCAGCTCGGATAGAAAGGTCTACAGAAGTAGATCTTAAGAGAAAATGCTGGCATAGCTGTGTGACTGTCACCCCAGTTACACTGGAAACCTAAGACGGGCAGTTTCATGGCCAAACACATGCCCAAGTAGGAAGCGAAATAACTAGGGGAAAGGGGCTAGAAGTGGGGCTCAGCAGTAGAACCTGCCTAACAAGTACAAAGCTCAAACTCCAGTACTCCTACATACCCCTACAAAACAAAACAAAAAAACCCACAAGCAGATAGCTTGAAAACAAACTGAAGCTCAAGGAATTGTCCTTGCCCTCCCAGACACTGCTTCTGACCCACCTCCAAAATCTTAGGAACAACCAAGGAAAAACCCATGGTCTGCAGATTGACACAGCCTCAGTAACCCTAAAACTCTAACACTCAAATTACACTCCCAAAATTTACAGCAATGTTTACACCATTTTTCAGGTGATCTTATTCTTTTGTTATTATTTACTTAAGCTTCTGTTAATATACTTAAAGCCTACATAACTTATACAAACATACTTAAACTTTTTCTTTCATTAACAGATTAATATATCTTAATTACCATCACTTAATTCTAAATTCACCTTTATATAATATCTGATAGGCATTAAAAAAAGGGAGAACATGAAATACATTCAAAACTGGCCTCACATCTGAAGGACTATGTTTTGTTTGTTTTTGTTGGTGGTGGGGCCTGACCTCTGGGCCTGGGCACTGTCCCTGCGCTCTTCAGCTCAAGGTGAGCACTCTACCGCTTGAGCCACAGCGCCACTTCTAGTTTTCCAGTGGTTTATTAGAGATAAGAGTCTCACGGACTTTCATGTCCAGGCTGGCTTTGAAGCGTGATCCTCAGATCTCAGCCTCCTGAGTAGTTAGGATTAAAGTCCTGAGCCACTGATGCCTGGCAAGACTATGTTTTGGGGTTTTTTTTTTGTTCTCCCCATCCCCACCTCCCCAGCCCCAGTCCTGGGGCTTGAACTCTGGGTCTGGGCACTGTCCCCGAATTTCTTTTGTTCACTCTACCAATTGAGCCAGAGTGCCACTTCCAGCTTTTTCTGAGTAGTTTATTGGAGATAAGCACCTCACGAACCGGGATGGCTTTGAACCGTGATCCTCAGATCTCAGCCTCCTGATTAGCTAGAAAAGACTATGTTTCTTTTTTTTTTTTTCTTTTTTGCCAGTCCTAGGGCTTGAACTCAGGGCCTAAGCACTGTCCATGAGCTTAATTTGCTCAAGGCTAGTGTTCTACCACTTGAACCACAGCGCCATTTCCAGCTTTTTTTATGTGGCACTGAGGAATCAAACCCAGTGCTTCATGCACACAAGGCAAGCACTCTACAACTAAGCCACATTCCCAGCCAGGACTATGCTTTCAAACAAGCAAATTCCTCTGAAAAATACTTTCTGACAACATGGTTGAGAATGAAAAGGACACAATTGTTAGACATTTCACCATATACCTCATTGGCACCACTGAACAGAGGTTCTCCAGTATGCATTTCAACCAAAATACACCCGAGGGACCACATGTCAATAGCAAGGTCGTAAGGCATTCCCAGTAGCACCTCTGGAGACCGATAAAAGCGACTCTGAATATACTGATATATCTGAAAGAGATTTCAAAATAGTATTAATCAATACAAATTATGTTTGTAATTGTGAGCAACTTGGATTAAGAACACCGATTTTACATTACAACAACATTTTAAACACTAGAATATGAATATTGATTAAATAAACATTTCCAGGGGATGGTAAGCTGAATATGAAAGAAAAACAAGTAAAATTTCAGACTCTTTACTGTGACCCAATCTTAACTGCTCATCGAGGTAAGTTTTGCAGCAAACAGGCAAGCCTGCCTGAGCCGCAACCCTGGCTGCCTGACCCTGGCTGCGCTGGGCCCAGCTCGGGCTTCACTTGTCCTGCATGTGTGATTCCGGGGTTTATTCCCAAGCATCACACAAAAAGAAAACAGAAAAGGCTTTTCCTGTGTATATAATACCTTACAGAAAAAACAATAGAGAATTACTTTTTCTGTATTAATAATTCCTTCCTGCTCTGGTTGGCACCTGGTTTTAACACTTACAATTACACTAACCTACATAATGTGTTTAGTATCAGAAGTCAAATCATCTCAAGTGCAATGAAACTTTAATTCAGACATTACTACTCTACTATCTCTCAAATCCAATAAATATTACTATATATAAAGATTCAATTGAGATCAGTTGCTTCTCTACCTTGTTCTCCCTGCCTCCATCTAAAGAGTTCCGGGGGGAAGGGAAATCTTGAAGTAGAGTATTACAAATGAAATAATCTAAAAATATCTTCATAGACCAACTCAATTTACTCACAGTCACTACAAATTTGCATCTAAAACTATATTATTAAAGCAAAGACATGAGGGAGGGAGGGAAAGAGGGAGGAAGGGAGGGAGGGAGGGAGGGAGGGAAGGAAGGAAGAAGGGAGGGACATCCTAACTAAACTTCCCAACAACACTTGAGCCATGTAGACATGACAACTCATGGAAGCTCCTGGGATTCCACTGAAAATAACACCAGCCAAATCAACCAAAACATGTAAGAAAGAAAGGTAATTCAAGCCATCTAAAAAGTACAGGTTGAACATCCCAATCGACAAAAACCAATCTTGAAGTACTCCCAAAATTTAAAGATGGCACTTAAATATGTCAATGTTACAGCATTTTAGATTTCAGATTTGGGGACTAAAGGAATTCAATTGTTAATGTCTATGTAAATATTTCATAATCAAAAACACCCTGAAATCTGGAATACTTCTGGTTTCCAAGTATTTCAGGTAAATATCTAAGCTTTTATAAGCCAGTTTTTCAAGGCCCAAGTGATTGCTACTAAGAATTTCTCACTTCACAGCTTATCCAAGAAAGCAAGCAAGCAAACTTGTCACTATTTACCTATCCAGTTTGGTTAGAGCAATTCTTTAGTTATCTACAGGGCTGAGATACACAGAAATACACTTTTTCCTGAAATACAATGTTTTCCCACCTCTGACTCTGACCCAAACATCTATACTTAAGGTTACAGTCTACACAGTCTGTAGTTTAAAACTTACCAAGCAAAAGGGTTATCTCCTATTGGCTAGACTATATAATAGTGTTTGATATTAGGACAGAACAATATGATTCTCTGATACTAGGACAGAAGAAATGATTTGGTTTAAGTAGTGAAAAAGAATGCCAAACTACAAAATCTATTCTGATTTCTTTTAAAATGGTCATATATATTCCATTCTTAAAGCTATTTTTTCCATATCATGAGCACTACTTGATTTTTAAATGTATATGAAATTGCATACCTTGCTTTCCACTCCAATTCTAAGAGCTTTTTCAATAAGTGGTGTGTTCACTTAAACTTTACATACTATGGTAGCTTTGCTATTGAAAAATAATTTGCAGGAAATAACAAAGACCATCCTGTTAACTAGCTATAAACCTAGCCAGGAATGAGCAGGAAAAGAAATTTCACTAATACAAAAAAAGAATGGAAAAGTTAATGTGAAATAGTAATGTTTCAATGTTAAGACTTTTCAAGATACACTATTAATAGTTTTTGTAATGCTAGAAAGGACAGTAGTCAGTTAAGCAATGTATCATTACAGAAATGGTTTTTTAAAACAGTGTGAACATGTATCAGAATTTACATAAATTCTGATTTCAAGTGGAGGGTTAAGATTTCAGGTTTTTAACTGAAACAAATAGTCCACCAATTGTGTGGTTTCTATTTTAAGGTACTATGACCAACACAAAAAAAAAAAAACACTGATTTTTTTTTTTAACTTGTAAGTTTAAAGAAGTACTTTGTACCAAGGATGGAAGCTTTGATGTTTGACTGCTCCAAACTTTGTATTAAAACCACTATTTGAGAGACAGACATCACCTAGTGTTTAACATACACCTCATTCTCTCTTAATCCCTGAGCAGACATAATAATTTAAATATAGGCGTGCCCCCGTCGCGTGACCGCGGCCTCGGGAGCGCCACAGGGTCACGCGCCGAGGTGGGCCGCCAGCGGGATGGAAGCCACTTTGGAGCAGCATCTAGAGGACACAATGAAGAATCCATCCATTGTTGGAGTCTTGTGCAGATTCACAAGGACTTAATCTGGGCCGCTGGGGTACTCTGTCAGATGAACATGCTGGAGTGATATCTGTTCTTGCTCATCAAGCAGCTAAGCTAACCTCTGACCCCACTGATATTCCTGTGGTATGTCTAGAATCAGATAATGGGAACATTATGATCCAGAAACACGATGGCATAACAGTGGCAGTGCACAAAATGGCCTCTTGACATTTCATGTCAGTTTTATAGAAGCCTGTCATAGGGATTCAGCCTACCAGTGCTAATTAAAAATTGTGAAACTATTGAATTATACTTGTAAAACTACTGATGTTCCAGGGGTTAGATCATTCACTGGTATACATTGGGCACTTTTCTATTTATGTAAATTGCTTTTAAACTAACCTCTCAATATGTAAGAATTTTTCATGTTCAAGACCAGTGCTCTACCACTTGAGCCACAGCTCACTTCTGGCTTCTTGGGGGCAGTTAATTGGAAAAAGAATCTTACGGACTTTCCTGTCCAAACTGTCTCCAGACTATAATCCTCAGATCTTGGCCTCCTAAATAGCTAGGAGTAAGTATAGGCATGAGCCACAGGCACCTAGCTAAGAAAGGATCATGTTTTGAAGCATAATATGGATGTACTGAGGAACAAGGGGTTTACAGCAGGGAGAAATGGATAAGACAGGACAAACCAAAATGAGTACTGATGTAATAGCAAGTGATCTAGTTTGGTTAGGCAAGAGGTGAACAATTAGTTCCAGGTCAGTTTGTCTATAGAATTTTCTATATACAATAAATAAATCTGTTTGGAGGGAAAAAAAAGAATTTAAATACATCCATCTGGGAAAATTTATTACCTCCTAACTCAAAAAGTATTGCTTTTGTAGTAAGATATCAACACATGGTGAATCAGATGCTGTGTTTTAAACATAAATAAGCATCTCATAATTATCTCCAAACTCTAAACATATTACAAAGAACATTTCAAACGTCTATGTACACTGTTTACTGTCTAATTTACAAGTTCTAAAACAACTTACCCTTTGCCCCAACTGACAAGAACTGCCAAAGTCAACAATCTTGATTGCGCTGCGTTTGGGGTTACAAAGAAGGATGTTCTCAGGTTTTAGGTCACAGTGAATGATACTAAGTTCTGGAGTCGCAAGGAAAAGCAGTGCAGTGCACATCTGTTGTGCAAACTTTCGTGTTAGGTTCAAAGAGACCCCACGGAAATTGGTGTTCCTCAGCAAGTCATAGAGGTTGTAGGACAGCATTTCAAAAACTAAACAAAGATGGTTTCGAAACATAAAGTGGCGTTTCAAATGCACTGGAAGAGAAAAAAGTTTCATTAAAGTTACATATACCATTAAGATGAGAGTAACACAGAGACTCTAAAAGAATCTATAACATTACAATGTTAAATGCACAGTGAAAACTGTGCTGAGGTTTGAAGATCAGCGTCCTGCACTAAGGGCAAGTTTTTTAACTAGTCAAGCACATTGCTGAATTAAATAGGTGTGATCGAGATGACAGAGGCAAGAAGCACCACAAAAATGCCTTGTTGGCCCACCTCCTGCCAACTGGGATCTGTGGAACAAGGCCACATTTGGCAGCCCTCCACGTTGGCCCTGATAAATATATAAACTGTGTATACCAGTAATTTTCTGTAACAACTAACCAGTACCTTTGTGACTTTGTATGTGCCAGTACTAAGGCTTGAATTGTGTTCAAGGCTAGCTAGCACTCTTACCATTTGAGCCATAGCACTACTTCCGGCTTTTTCTGGGTATGTGGTACTGAGTAATCGAACCCAGGGCTTACTGCATGCTAGGCAAGAACTCTACTACTACACCACATTCCCACCCTATTTCAAGATTTTAGATGTTTTCTTTACCAATAAATGTTTGAAGAAAGATATCCTTATCATAACTTAACCAGTATACAATGCATGTATGATACACACACACACACACACACACACACACACAGTATGTTTGTACCTCATTCATGTAACTATGTACTAAAAATTAATTTGAAGAGACAAGAAGCTAGGTCATTTCAATGTTAAGACTTTCATATCAGAATAAACTAGATCCAATCACCTAAATATGGGTCTATTAAATATAAAATTTCTTTTTGGGGGTTTCTGAAAATAGGACCTCAATTTTTGACATATCATGTGTGTCATCTTCCTAGTAAGTTAAACATACCCAAACTATATTGGTTGTAATTTTGAGGGAGGCAGAGAAAGTTCCCATCCTAAGTCCAAAGCCCTGAGACCCCGCAGATGTTACTTCTCAAATAAGCCATCTGTCACTTACGGACTCTAACCAACCACACTGTTGAATACTGGCTAGGATGATAGAGAAATTCCGTAAGTCTAAGTCTAGCAGTTTCTAACTTACGGACTCTAACCAACCACACTGTTGAATACTGGCTAGGATGATAGAGAAATTCCGTAAGTCTAAGTCTAGCAGTTTCTAACTTACAGACTCTAACCAACCACACTGTTGAATACTGGCTAGGATGATAGAGAAATTCCGTAAGTCTAAGTCTAGCAGTTTCTCATGCTGGCAAGGTGACAAATAGTGCCAGAAATAGTGATTTGAACATTGCCAAAATTGTCTGTAACCATAGTCAATGTAGGTAAAGCTTTTATCACACACTGAGTTTCTGAGGTAGTTAGAAATGCCTAAGTTACCACAATAATGATTCCAGTAAAGACAACACACTAATTAAAGCAAACAAATGACACATAAAAGCTGAAATTTTAGGAAAAGGCACTACTCTCATTGGTTTCAACATTTTATATCTTCTGAAATAAACCATTCCTACAGATTTTGAACCAAATAACATAAATCTAATCTCTTCAAAAGAAATTTTTAATCAATCACCTCAAGATAAAAACCAAAGTATTCAGATTTTTAAAAATATTAATTTAAATTTCTCTTCTGAACTGGGCATAAAAGGTTTGGTTTACCTATATAGTATTTCATTTCAGTGTCATGTTTGTTCATGAGCTCAAGAAGTCGAACTTCAATCTGGGCTTGATTCAAAAATGCTTTCTTGTTCTTGATTATTTTAATGGCAACCCATTCTTGCTCCACTCGATCATATGCTTTCACAACCTAAAAGAGAAGAAAGATATGTAGTTCTCTATTATATTAATACAATAGTTCCAGAATTTTACATGTCTCCCCAATGGAAGCTAATTATCACTTCATGGTACATTTTGCTGACCTTTATGGGTAGAAGATGCAATATGCCATCAACTTTATTACAGGGAATTTTAACTCTATCCTTTCAGGGTTTTTTCTATTATCTTAGCCTTTCTTTAGGGGTGAGAGGAGAGACAGTAAGTACTGAGATTTTGAACACAGTCTCATGTTTGCAAGCATTCCTTTTCACTTTAGTATTTTTCAGAAAGGCTCTTTGCCCCAAATGGCCTTGGACTGAGGTGCTCCTCCTTCATGCTTCATGCACAGCTGGGATTACAGGTATGTTTGTTGAGATGGGTTCTCCTTAAATCTTTTGGCCTAGGTTACCACAATCTTCTCAATCTCCATCTCTCAAATAGATGAGAGGGGCTGGGAAGGTGGCTCCGTGGTAGAGCGTTTGCCTTGCATGCATGAGGCCCTGGGTTCGATTCCTCCTCAGCACCACATAAGCAAAAGAAAAAAGCTGGAAGTGGTGCTGTGGCTCAAGTGGTAGAGCGCTAGCCTTGAGCTAAAGGGCTGAGGGACAGCGCCCAGGCCCAGAGTTCAGGCCCCACGACCAGACCCCCCCCAAAAAAAAATTTTTTTAAAGATAATGGTAGTTCTAAACCTCTTTCTACTAACCAGAGACAACCATTTGTATCTAAATAAATGAAAATTACAAAGCTTGTTGTACATTTCCTAACATTCAAAAATTTTGAGGACGGAGATTGATCTTTAAATGGTTCTGATCTGAAGGTTGGGAAATACTGAATTATGAAAAAAAAATGGATGCAAATTCCTAAATCTAAATCACTCAAAGTTAAATATATTTAACTAAAAATCAAACTTGAAATAAGAAAATGCAGTATCTCTGGTTTCAGTAAGATTTAAGTCATTATCTGATATGGATGTTAAATTTAAAATGCAATGAGATATGACAAAGTAAACAGGACTCAAGAAACAAAGGACCTCTTCTTGTATTATTTTTAGATGACTCTATGTTCTTAACCCCACATATGGTATATACCTGTGCATATCTAAGGGAATCTAGAAGGAGGGCACAGAATCAGAGGGAAACAAGGGAAAAAATACAGCAGAGGGCCCATCAGCTGCACTGGACATGGATCAAAGTGAACTAAGCAACTCAAGGGCAGTGATGGGAGGGAGGAAGTGACAGAGAAAGAGGGAACAGCTGACACTAAGCAAAAGGAAAGAAATATACATATCACGCTATCTAGAATAAACAGTTGCATTTTCAGTTTGTAGAGTTCACAAGCTTTATGGACTATGAAAATGACAATTCATCTTGGGAATGTTAAAATGTGTTTGTGACTTTAGCTAAGCATCACTATCCCACAATACTGTGTAGTTGGTGTAATCACCTAATCTCAATAAAGAATTTAAAAAAAAATCATTATCTGTGGGTCTTATATTAGAAACTACCTTTGGAAACATGTAACCAAGTGGCTTTGCTATGTACCAAGAGCGACAAGTCAGTGTTCAGATCCTAGTGGTCTCAACAACTAAAGTACTTACTGTCTTAATGACTGGCTAAATGCTAAAGCAATTTTCAATCCTTTGTTACACATTCAATATTGTTAAAATATTAGTGTCTAGAATCCAGCCACAGAGGTTTAGAGCCCAAGAATTATTTTTAAAGCTCCCCAGAAATTCCAATGAGCAATCAGGACTGAAAACCATTCACTAAATAAGTGGAAAAACCTCTATTTGCCAAGAACCTGGCATGGAGTTCAGGAAAAGTTTTGCTAAGCCATTGCGGAAGACATTTACTCTAATGAACACCACGAACACTGTAGACTCACCCAGGAAGGAAACTAGCAGTATGACCTAGGGAAAAGGAGTATATTTTCACAAATGCACTATATTCCACTGCTCTAACAATAAGACCATGAGAAAATTAAGGTGAAGAAGAAAAAAATATGAGCTTTAAGACTAAGGCAAGGACAACCAGGTTCAAAGAACCTAATTAATGGTGGATATAAAGTTTAATAAAACAAACAAACAAAACAAAGCACTGTTGAGAGCAATTGCCCAAATATTGTTTGCCTTCTAAAGATAGCAATCCTTATCTCCATAGGGTAGATAAGAGCTGAGCTTCAGAAATGCCTTAAAAAAATGTTATTATAAAGGTGATGTACAGAGGGGTTACCATTTCATAAGTCAGGTAATGATTACTGCTTCATTTACCTACCTTTTGTCCCTCCATTTTAGACAGACGGACAAAAAAACAAAAGAACAAATGGGGGAAAAAAAGACACCAAAAAGTAAAAACAATGTCATCATTACCAACAACAGCAGAAAAATTAGAAAAAAAAA